CCCACCAGAGCACAGAGGAGCATTGATCTTAATATTGACCTGCAAAAGGAATTACTGCTACTTACAGCTCAAATGCTAAGAACTTATCATCTTACATTCACCTCATATATGGGGGATTTCTGGAACTTTTTACCTGTCAGGGTTTGGCCCACAATCAATAGCACTTTTCTTCTTCAACAGATATCCACAAGAATGTTATCAACCCATCTGAAGAGAACCTGGTGAAAGAGGAAATCTTGCACAACAAACACAGAGAACTCAAAGACAAGCTAAGAAGCATCAATCAGGGGTTTGAGCGTTTGCGTAAAGTCAGTCACCAGGGATATGACACAACCAGTGGTATGATACGGTGGTTTTTTATGCTTATTTGGGATTAATTTAATTAAAAAAAAAAAAAAAAAAACTAAAAATCAGTGGACTAGTGATAAGATGTAGTCACAGTATCACAGTACATGGTGTGACCACAATGGGCTGAAGAGATACAGCCAGCCTTTCTGTTTAGAAGCCCACACTTAGAGGCCTAATGAAGGGAGAACAGCCTGTAGCGACCATAGTTCTGTCTTCCATGCCCCCAGGAGAAGGGATGTTAAGCCTGCTGCCCCAGGAGGACAGCTAAGTGAGACAACATGCAGGGCAAGCAGGGCTATTATTCAGTTCCAAGGGTTATTGGGTTTTTTGCTTTTTAAAAATTATTTGCTACAGCAATACTATAATTTTAAGTACTTCGATTTTTCTCCCTTTTCATTTAAACAGACATATTAGTAATGCAGTGCTTAATATATCTGTGTTGTGTGTGTGTATGTGGGAAAGCATGCTCATCTTGCATAGAAGCTGGGCATAAAAGCATTGTGTCCAGATTTTCATTTAGTGGTATGTGTTTGTTTAGAATTTGAAGAGCCAAGAGTGATTGATTTGTGGGACATGGCCAAATCGGCCAATTTCACTGAGAAAGAACTTGAATCTTTTCGGGTAAGTAGAATTCCAGTTAGATCTCTTATCACAGAATCACAGAATGTTCGGGGTTGGAAGGGACCTCTGTGGGTCATCTAGTCCAAGCCCCCTGTCAAAACAGGGTCACCTACAGCAGCCTGCAGGGGACCTTGTCCAGGTGGGTCTTGAATATCTCCAGAGAAGGAGACTCCACAACCTCCCTGGGCAGCCTGTTCCAGTGCTCCGTCACCCTCAGAGGGAAGAAGTTCTCCCTCTTGTTTGGATGGAACTTCCTGTGCTTCAGTGTGTGCCCATTACCCCTTGTCCTGTCGCTGGGCACCACTGAAAAGAGTTTGGCCCCATCCTCCTGACACCCACCCTTGAGATATTTATAAGCATTTATAAGGTCCCTTCTCAGCCTTCTCTTCTTCAGGCTGAACAAGCCCAGCTCCCTCAGCCTCTCCTCTTAGGAGAGATGCTCCTGTCCCCTCATCATCCTTGTAGCCCTAAATACCTTATGGAAAGGTATTTTCCCACATAAACACTCGATATTACTCTGAGTGCAGCCACTTCTGTATTGCACTTCAGACACCATAAAAGAAAGTCATGCTTCTTTCGTAATATTTCAAATATATAAACATGTATGGAATTAGTCATATGCATGGTTCTGTTATAATCAGCAAAATGAAAATTCTGAATCCTGTGAAAGAAAGTGTTGCATATTTTAAATCTTTGAAAGATCTGCTTGTTTGTTTCCAGTGCACCAGATTTCCCTCTCTTACCCCATGTCTTAATGTAATTACTTCTTGTGGAAGCAATGTAGTCTATATACCCAGAAATTCCCTTCTCATGCCCCACCTCTTGCACTGCTAACTTCCTGTGTTGAACTGACCCAAAAGTACCATGATAAAGACTGCTTTCCAAGGATATATTATAGAAATTAATTCCTGCGGGGTTCATATTGGTTTTATTTAACTCAAATTACCTTGAGAAAACAGTTGTTTTTTTTTTTTTTCATCTGACTCTTGCCTGTTCATCAGAACAGACTTTGATTGATAGCCTGGAGAAGTAACTCTTCAGGGCTGCTTCATGGAGTTGCATGTACTTACAGTGTTGTCTTAAACTTCAAGACATGGCTAGGGACACCTTGAACTTCTTTTCTGGATAATGTAATGAGAGAGTTTTAACTGCCCGGGACAGGGATTGAAATCTGTCTCTCTGAAATATCAAAGATGCATTGTATTTCTTTTAACTCGCATGCAGCCTGATTCTCATATGAAGCAAATATTTTGATTACACTGATTTCAATGATCCTGCTTTTATGAGTGTTGGAGGAAAGCCTGCTGAAACCTGCAACAAGGCTTCTGCTGACCTCAGTGGGAGATTTTGGTCAGGACTGTACAACTTCATGAGAGGTACATTTGGCCTTCATATCCGCCGCAGTGAAAAAGAAGAACCCAATTCCATAAGCAAGAACACATACCTGCTTATTAATTTTACTGTTCTAGTAGAAGGCTTCCTTTGTGCAAACCCTCTTCACCAGACCAAACCTGTCTTGTTATTGTGTTGGGACATCTTAAGAAAAGTAAGGCACTAAGAATCACAATGGAACATCTGTCTATTTAAAAAGTCCATGAAAGCAGAATTAAAGAAATCATGTGCCAATTCCATTCAGCCTTGTTTGAGCAGCTGAAGTTGTATCTTCTCCTGACTGGCCACAGTACCAACCTTCGTAAGGGTTTCGTAATGGAAGACACAAGTGCTGCTCTGCTGCTACGTCACCTGAGAGGAGCAGCTAAAATGATTTATGAGAGCAGTAAAACCCCAAACTGGGTTCCTGTACGGAGTACCTAAGACAGACTGGAGTGTTCTACAGCAATAGGAAACTATTTTCTTGTCAGAAATGTTGAAAACAAAAGCCATTTGCTTTAAAAACTGAGTATCTGTTAGAATGATGGATTTTTATTTTTTTAAATTGTCTTGAAATGAGGGGAATTTTGTCAGCCACCAGGACTGAAACACTCCAGTGGCCAAAATTAAGCGGGCTCTGTCAAATGGGGATTTCACTGCAAGATTTGTCCAAGTTTTTCTCAATGTAATGCATAGAACTGCTGCCATAAGTGGCATAACAGTTTGAACTGTTCAGATCCTCTTCACAGAGGACATGTCCTGAGACACAGAGAAACTGAATTTACTGCCTTGAAGTAGCAAAACAAGAGCATGCTTTGGTGGGTAGAGACATTACTTGTTCTCTGGTTCCCCTTGTGGTGTACCGGGTTATCTGAGGACCATGTCTGATAAACACCACATTTAGTCTGGCCACTGTCTTTAGGACAAACTAGGAGGTTTTTTGTTAATTTATTAATTTCAGATTCACCATAGCAGACTGCAAACCCAGAAAATGTTTAAGTCTGAGCAGAAAATAGCAAATCCAGGACCTGATTTTTAAAAAGAAGCTTCTCTTAAAAGTTGTCTGTCTCCCTCCCCCAAGTCCACTATTCTCATGTATAAACCTTTATTTGGTATACATAGCTATCATCTCCTAGCACCTGACAGCCATCAGCAGTCTCCTTTTGAGGACTTTGCAGTGGGTCGTTTTCAGCACCTGCCTTCAAAATTGGACATCTGGGTAGTGATGATAATGTGTTGTCCAGACATTCTCAAGAGGCAGGGAACTGAAAAAGCTCTCTGTGCTTGGCTTAGTAGAATAGTATTAGGGATGTCTTGGCAAGAAAAGAGAGAGGAAGCTTTGGAAAGCAAGTCCTGTGAAGCTCTGTGTATTTATTGTCTTAGGAGGAACTGAAACATTTTGAAGCAAAAATTGAAAAACACCATCATTATCAGAAGCAGTTAGAGATTTCACACCAGAAACTGAAACATGTAGAGGGGACTGGAGATAAGGATCATCTGAACAGAAACAAAGAGAAATATGCCATGCTGGAAGAAAAGACAAAAGAACTCGGATATAAGGTCTGTATAAATCCAGTGTACATACATGTTGGAAGTTTAACTCAGTAGTGGAGGGTATGTGGATTATCCAGTGCTGATTTTTAATGCAATTTGAATGACTTCCAGATAGGAAGTTTAAGGCACACCTGTGCTCCATGTTTAGTACAGGGTACACATAACTGTTTTTTGTAGACCTGATTCTAAAATGCCTGAAATCTCCCTGGTCTCTGCCCGTCCTGTTGTCATATATACTGATAGCAAAATCTGAATATATGATATTGATAATTCATTGTCTTACTAAAATTTATTTGATATGTTTTGTTTTCTGCTAGGTAAAGAAGCACTTGCAAGATTTATCCAGCAGAATCTCTCAAGGCCTTCAACATAATGAATTATAAAACTTTGTTCACTTTCGTGGGATGAATCTGTTAGTACAAAACAGATAATTTGTTTTTTGAACAGGATTTACCAAGGAGTCCTTCCGAAATAGTAAGGATTGAACAGTGTTGTCCTGTAAGAAAATTTTTTTGGTCCACTTAATTGTCAGTTTTGTATTTGCACTATCAAATCATTAGACTATGAATTTAAGTAGCACATCTCGTATCATCTAAATCTTACATCTGAATCAAGTAACAGCCTTTGAAATAAGCAGTCATGTCAAAAGGAAAAATATGTGAACTCTTGAAGAATTCCTGCCAGTAAAAAAAGCTGGTAGTCAGGAGAGGTATTGTGTTCAGTGAAAGCAAACACTGAGGTACAGGAAGTTAAAACAGAGGCCAGAAAAGTCTTTTAGTGCCTGGCCTAATATGTTTCCTACTGAAGGTAACAAAAATATTTCTACTGACTTTGAGCAGTGGCTCAGAGCTGCACTGTATATGAATCTTTCGTGTGAGAGGGGGAGGAAGAGTAAGGAGGGAGCAAGTATTGAGGTCAATTCACATGATTTAGTTATACACTAACACATCTGAAGTTACTGAATGTATGTGTACAATTACCGTGTTCATGGTTGCTTGGTTTTGTTACGCTTAGTCATTAAAAAAATCAGAACAAGATACTGGTGAGGCTTTTTTTTGTTCCCTCTCATTTAGTGAGAAGTAACCAGACCTGGTTGTTGAGCATGTTGCTTTATGCTTTAAACTGACATTCACTCGCACATTAGTTTTTAAGACAGAAAGGGTAGTTCTGCACTGTAAGAGTGTGTTTCTATGTTCTGAATAGGCAGAAGGGTCTCCAAAGCAGCTTCTTTCTGAGCACGTATTCCACTACAATCCCCAGTAAAGATGATTATCACTTTCCCTTTCGAGACTAGATTTTTCTGTTCTGCATCAGAACTTTGGCAAACATTAGCCATCTGGGTTGACTTTTCTATAATAATAATGCTGACCCTTTATTTCTAAGAAGTCTTTCACATGAAACTGTTCCAGGAACAAGGTTAAGGCAAAGGTCCAGCGTAGGTAAATCATTACAGCTGCTTGGTTAAGAAGCTCTGTCACTCACACAGTGCAGCGCTGTTGTGTGCTATGTGAGGAAGCTTGCCTCCAGCCCTGCGTGCTGTACCCATTCCATGAGAGATACTGAAGAGATTCGTTCAGTCAGAATCAGCCACTCTGTATAATATTTTTCCAGTTCCTGGGTCCGTGGTGAGTTAGAAGTAGTATGGTCCTGTGTGTAAAGACTACTTTAGAATGTGCAAGTGATCTGAACCAAAACTGTGGTAGCAGTCTTACTTTGAGATTCTGAATATGTTACTTCGGAGCAGTAAGCTTCTTTTTTTTTTTTTTTTTTTTACTTTTTTATTTTAATGTAAGCTAACAGTTATTTATATTCCAGAGAATCAGTCCATCATGAGAAACACAGGTTACCATTAATATTAGCAGTCACTTTAGAGATGGTTCAGTTTGTGTAGTTTATGTTGCACGTCCCCTTTGGTTAGTAAGCTAAAAAAAGTAATCCCCAAAATAGCTAAAATCCACTTATGAGAAAACTGGTTTGTTTGTTTCCTAGATGCTCCACACCATTTCTTCCCCAGACTATCACTTTAAGGGCTCTTCAGCCTTCTTTAGCACAGCAGTAGCTGCATTGTCTTACAGGTTTATCTTCATCATTTTCAATTTTTCAAGGTGAATGCAAATAGAAAAGTGTTCTGTACTGTGTGTGGAAGGTGCAGGCTTCGTTATTTCTGTCAGTTTTCCCTTTCGTAGAGTAAGACAGAAATGCACGTGCCACAGGTCGGGTGGGTGGCTGAAGCTTGGATGTGGAGAGGCCCACACCGCTGGCTCCTGGGTGAAGAACCGGAACACATGTCCCGGTTAACATCAGCAGAGGAGAGGAGCTAAGCAAAGCCCTGGAATCTGAGCAGTTCCTGCTCAGCAGCCTTGCGGGGCTGTGCAAGGGCGGAAGAGCTTCTGTGAGCATCTTCAGGTACTGCTGGTGGGGGAACTCTGCTGCGTGAGGGAAAGCAGCGCAAGTGTCTCGGCGTGCCATGAAGGTGGGCAGAAAGCCGGGTGTCATCTTCAGTGTGTACCTGAACTGGAATATGCTTCTTTAAGAATTTCTGAAGGATTTTGGAATAGCACAGGGTGCGGGATTGGCAGCACTCATAACCAGGGTCAGATCAGCAGTGGAAATCGTTGTCTCCAAGTGCAGAGCTGCTTCAGCGCGGGCTGTGACAGAGGCGATGGCTGTACCGCACGGCGGTGGCTGTACGGTGTCCTTACCCACCACGCCGTGACAGTAATCAGGCTCAAAGGCCAGGCAGGCTCCAGCAGAGAATGCCTGGCAAGCACTTTGAAGTACAAGAGGCTGATAAAATATTTACACGTCACAGTAATTTCAAATTGGGAACGATCATCAGTGGCTAAGGTTGGGGAGAGAGGTCAGCACAGTCACCTCACTTTAGTTATTTAACACAGCTGTTAATGAGTCATTGGGCCCAAAGGTTGGTCTCACAAACCTGGAGAAAAAATAGTATACCTGCAGTTGCTGCCTCTGCATCCCTCTTCTCCCTGGAATAGTCTGTGGCTAGGTTGGAGTCTGCAGCAGCATGGAGAAAACATTAGGAATAGCCTCCACTCCTGTCCAGGCTCTTTGGGCCTTTCCCTGCTTTTTGAGGTCTGGAGACAGTGCACAGGCTAGTGGGTTGCAAAGCCTGCTTCCACTCTTGTTTCCGCAGGCTGTACCTCACACGCATCGATACACGTACAAGTCAGTTCATTACTGCAGCTTTTAAGCCTCCAAAGACAATTCGTATGTTATTTACAAGAGTGGGTAGTCTCTGAGACAGTAAAGATTAAAAAAAGAGCTGGAGTCACCACTCTTGTGTTTCTGTAAAGAGCAGCAAAAATACAAAGCCAAGAAAAAAGGTGTAAAGGAAATATGCCTACAGTCCTGTGCCTGGTGGAAGGCAAAGAACGGAGTTCATTGGTGAGACTGCGGGGAAGAGACAGCTGAATAGGAAGGAACCAACAGCCTTGAAATGGTGATTGAACCTTCTCTTCCTTAATTGGTATTTTTTCTGATCCTTTTGTAATTATTCAAATCACCAAGTTTTTCAAACCTCTCTGAGAAACAATTTGAAATACAAAAGTGGGAGCAGAAGAAGGAGGAAAGAACTGTATTTCTTAGGAGAAAAAAAAAGATCAGAACGTTTTATGTTTTATATGGTCTGTCAAATTATGCCCTGAAAAAGAACCTCAATTTAAATAAACGCATCAGTGATTTCACGTAGGACAGATTTTTGTTTATTAAACAGGTTGGGGGTGGAAAAGAGAGGGAAATAAATACACAAGGTGTTAAATAAAACAAAAATAACCAAGTCCTCCTTAAAATAAGCACAATGCCCTATGTGCTGGTAGAGGAGCTGAGATGAAAGAGAAAGCAGTACGCAGACATTAATGCTTATCACGTTCACGTAAAAATAATGGATACATTGATATAACATGTAGATATTTTGTTCCTTCGCTGATGTGTTAACGTATCAGAAAGCTGTACACATCAGTTTTGATAAAACTGATCATTTTCTGTCTCAGAGTTTGCCCGTCAATAGCTGGTCTACTGTAACTTAAACCTGGTGATTTCTATAGGGCAAACTGAGCGTTGAATCACTTTGAAATAAGCCTCCTACTAAAATAAAATGTTATTTAATGTTCAGCAGTTACAGTTTTCCAGGCTACTTACTTTAAAGAGGGAAGGGAGCTACATTTATTTTAGGAAGAAACACACTGGGAACTGGAAACCTGCATACGAAACCAAATAATTTGCAGTGCTTGGCTTTAGATCTAGGAGTCTAACCTCAAAATTCAGATTTCAGTTTCTAATTCAAGAAGACATCTGAACCGGAACTGCTAGCTGAATGGTCCTTCAGTGGGGAAGGAGTCCGTTCTCCAGCCCCAATTCAAACCCAAGTGCTGGGACTCCCATTTACAGCTCCGATTCTGCCCAGTCACAGCGTGGAGTCTTCGTTCACACCAGTTCCTGGGGCCACTGCTGATGCAGTATTTGCCCCACTCTGAAGTTCAAGAAAGCAAAAGAGGAGTGAGAAGAACTATGGGCAAAATGTGATATCTTGGAACGGAGAGGTTTCCACGGCAAGAGCTTAGGAATCAGGGGTTACTGCTCATTGCAGTTCAACGGCAGACGGCTGGCAGTGGGAAATGCAGCAAGTTTATCCCGACTTTTGTTAGGAATTTTTCAGGTTTTACCTTTTTCCTGATCTGTACCAAATTGACAGGGATTCTTACACAAAAAACCCATTCCAATAGTCTGAACACCTTCCGCACAGGTAAATGCAGCCTGGAACACTCGAGTTACCCTGCTCCAAGCAGCCGATACACTTTATAGGGGATGCATATGCCTTAGACAGTGTATGCATTAGCCTTAGTTCGCGGGTGTTGGTAAACACTTACCACTGATCGATTGTTTCAGGTCTTGTGCAAACTGACCCTCATTCCCCTGCTGAGGAATCAGCTTTGCAGAACTGCGAAACAAAGGTTTCATTTGTGAGGAGTTATTAATTCAGGATAAGAACATGATTTTCCAGAGATATTCCTAAGAATTGTTTTCCTTCTCATTTTATTGCCATCTGTACAAAGAGCTATGCCTGAATTTTGGAGAGAAAAAAAACCCAGCCGACATAACCACCTAGGACATCAGAAGTCCAGACCAAAGGATTGCTGCAGCGCATACCTAGGATTACAGAAGAAACAGGAGTGAACATGCTTAGCCACACACAGACAGTGAGAACAAACATGAGTTCTCTTCAGCTCCCTCAAACCAAGGAACAGAGCGACTCATCCTGCTCGGCTTTGACCGCTTCCAGCTCCCCGGTGATGCTGCGGAGGCTGCGAGCAGGGGTAGCTGACAGCCTCGCTGCTTGGCCAGCAGGTTTTGTGTCACCCGGTTGCTCTTGGCTCTGCCTGCGCGGCTCAGGCCAGGCACCATGCTGAGACGCAGACAGACAGTTCCCACCACCGTCCCAACTGACGATGTGGCCAGCTGCAGGCTGTAACTCGCACCTTGGCCGCTCCTCAGCCGGATGGACAGCGGTGAGAAGGTCTAAACACGTTAAATGTTGTCAGTGTACGTGGGGGCTTGGCCAGAGGTACACACACTGAGAAGAGCATCTAGCGTCAGCAAGTCTCAACAGCA